AAAACATTACAAATGTTAATGGCGTTCAAGGACTAAATAGTACACTAATAGAACAGGATATAAGTGGCCATAATTCATCTACAAACAATAATATATATTTAAATCAAGATTCGGAAGTATCATTACTCTATGATGTGTCAAAGAATGCGTCAGAAGAATTAGATGTAACTACATCTGAAAATCTGGACAGCGAATCGCAAATGTCAATTAAAAACAAGCATGACAGTAATCAAGAGGATGCGCAAATACATTTCGCAAGTACAGAGGAAAGCACAATGCAGACGACCACCGATACTTCCATCGTGCAAAATACAACATTCGTTTCCAATAATCAAATATACAATGAGATAATGAAACGTATTCAGGCTGCCAGTGCGTATTCAGCGAAAAATCATTATAATCATTTAGTTAGTCGACCCAAGGATGGAGACCAGCCCAAGATTAGCAATCTAAAGAATTACATGGAGAAGAGGAAGCCGAATTCAATCAAGGATCTATTTTCCAACAAAAATGATAATCGCTACATTAATACTAGGACCAAGCAGAGCAATTTATTGCATATGACCAACGAGTGCCTCGTTTCAATCAAGTTCTTAAAACTGCAGCTGTTTGTGTTATCCTTTACGATGTACTTTCTGCCAATTCTGCTCTCCTGTATCCTACAAATGCGAGGAAAGCACACGTGTAAGAATATACTCGCGATATTAAGAGCAAAAACCGATCTTCCTTCCACGAATGGTAAAAAGATTCGTCGTCAAGATTCAGCAGAAGGATCCAGCATGCCACAGAGATCAAGAAACCGTCACAGTTGGACAGACATAGATGCAATAGAAAAGGATCATGAAAGTGAAAAAAGCAGGGAAAATGAAAGCATGGCTTTAGAGATAGATTGCATGATAAAAATATTTGATACTATCACGTTATCGTTGATTCTGTGTATAGTTTTCTGGACACCGGTATTCTTGGGGACTCTACTGAGAGTATACTCGTGTATCCGCGCTCCACAGTGGTTCAACGATATAACATTTTTAAGCGCTGCTTCTTTCGGTATCGTAAGAAATGCCCTGAATATAAATATAATCAGAATTCAAGAAGCTTGTAGTGACAATATGAAAGAAAACAGGATACATCCAGTTGAATAAGTCGTGTGCTTAATATAAGTTACATTATTCAATATATTCGAATATTAATAAGCTCATTATAATAATGATAATAGTAAGAATTGACTTTTGGTGCTTCTAGCAAGAGACATATAAATGTTACAGTGTAATATAGTGAATCCTTATTATTTGCCAAAAGATGAACTTTACATTATAGATCTGTTTTCTATGATTAAACTAGTATACACTTTTGAAACTTAAAGTGAGATAAGTATATGTATTATTTGGTGAAAGCGAAAAAGAGAGTTTTAGTGCAGTTTAGTGCAGGAATAAAAAACAAATATTGTGTTACATTTGTGTTACTTTGTGTCTTTTGCTGGAAAGCACCAATCTCTAGTGTAACATAGATTACTTCATCTCAGTTTAACAGCAAACAATAAGGATGTAATGATTTACCGTGGATGCTTTCCATTTAGTAACATAAATCGACAGAAAATGTAGTTCTATCTTTGTTATTGACTGGAATGCCAAAAAAGATAAGGTGTTTTTCACTTAATGATACAAGTGTCATTCTATCTTTGTTAATCACTGAATGCCAAGAAAGAGAAAATAATGTTTGCGTCGACTTATGTCACTAAACAAAAAACATCTTGTATTACGTCAGTTGCTTTCCATTTTCGCACAAATGAGGCACTGATAATGAGTCTAAAGTAACATATTTTATACTCATAATGACGTTGCTTGCTTACTTTGGTGACAAAGTCAGTACATAATAATAAGTTTAAAACCTTATTTTCAACTTGAGTTAACAAAACTCAGCAAATATAGCTAAGTCTCAAGTTTGTGCAGATTGTAAGTAAAAACTGAGTTGACTCTCGCATGTCAGAATGAAAAGAAACATGCATTCAACTAAGTCATATGCCTGTATTCACAATCAGACCTTATATTTAAGGAGGTTCTCGCGCTACTTCCTAGTCAATAGACAGTTTGTTCACAATAACATGTGAAATAATTAAAATAATGGAATAAAAAGGTTACCAACAATATCTTATGCCATTATACATAATTATTGTTAATTTTATATGTTACTAAATATTTTCAAAATATCAAAATAAAAGTTGTAAGATGCTCATTTGATGTATACGCATCGTCCATTTGACATATATTCTAGCTTTTTTCATTGAAGAATATAAATTTCTTGTAAACTGTACGGTCAGTTTAAATGAACGAGAACAAACTTAAGCGTTTACTTTATGATTATAACGATTTTTAAATCGCTGTCTTATATGCAAATGTCTCAATTTAAAAGAGAATAACTACAGAATAAGGTTATACCTTCAATTTGTAATGTAAAATTCTATAAATTTAGAATTAAATATCTCCAAAATGGTACGGTAAAAGTCAATGAAATTTTTTCTAGATATTATTGACATTATTAACTTTTGCATTACATGTATATTATAGACTTGTCTTATTTTTCATCAAACCTCCTTAAGGTCTTTAAATTTATCTTTAGATGCTCAGTAGCCAATAAAATAATTCATAGAACGTCCGAAGATAAATTTAAGAAAGCCTTAAATATAAGGTCTGACTACGAATGCAGGCAATAACATGACAAATGAGAATCATCTGAGTTTTGATATAAATGGAAAGCACCATTTGCATCAAGAATTACATATATTCACAGTCGTGAAATAATCGTTTTTGATACACGCTGATGTGGCAGAGAAAAGAGAATTTGTCAAAAGTATACTTTATTCAATATTTCTGAAATACCAAAAGTAAAAAAATATCAAAAGTAAATATTATATTTCTTTACGTATAAAGGCATTAAAATCAGATTAGTGACTTAACTCTAATCGCCCGTATCGTTATAACGAAAATATTTCTCGTGCTGTACAAAAATAATACGTATGAGATTAGATAATCACATTTTATTCCAGAAACGCGTTTCCAGCGTCAATATTTCCTGCCAGTTATACTTAGTAAATACTATCGCGAAACTGCCCATATGTGAATTGAATTGAATTAAATTCGTAAAGGTACGGATAGATAATACATTCGCTTACTGTGCACTTATCACTTATCGCGAGCAAAGTTTCGGTCGCTATGCAGACCGTGGATGTAGATGATCGTCGGCAGAGTCCGAGATATCGCGGACGTCCTTTCCAACAGCCTTAATTTAGGTTCCACGCCGTCACGGAGGCAAGTACATCGATCAGGCGAGTGAATTCCTCCGATTCTTGCCGTCGCCGCTCGCGAAAGCGGCCAATAACGGGTAACGAGACACAGCAATTAACATCGGAAATAACGCCTGTACTGTGCGCTGTGCAGTACTAAGCGTACGTCACAAGCCCGACTTAACCTCCTCGTCAGCGCGCTTAACAATGCGCGCGCAACTTACATAATTGCATATCGACAAGTTGTTTTTTTTACGTGTACACCGCACAGTAAAAACGACGCGCGCGTTGCCGGCTCGAATTTGCGCCAGGTATTGCTTCTCGTCGATGTCTTTTAACGTGGACTCTCATGGAATCGATAGAGGTTCCAACAATCAATTAACATTTGAAAGAAACCTTTGCCGATTTTAATCAAATTTAAAGTTTAATAAATAAATTTAGAAAAAAATTTCAAATTTTAAACTCAAAATTATTACAACGTAAAACGATAATGGTGATAGAGAGGTCAATACACGAGCAAATAATTAGATCAAAATCTATTTTAATAAAAAAAACTAGTTTTAAATTTTGACCTAAATGTTTGTATATTGATCTCTCTATCATTATTATTATTATTAGAAAAATTTAATAAAACTCAAAACAAATCTTTGCCGAATTCAATGAAGTTTAATAAACAATTAAGTTTAGTAAAATTTATTTATTTAAAAACTTGATACGAACTCTAAATGTTGCCGGCGCATTTTAAAAATATTAGAGTTTATAATATAATTAAAAATTATATAATTTTTTTATTTTAAAAATATTGTTACAACTTGTTTGTTATTTACATTTATGTGTATGTGTATATAATATTTTTGTAATCAAAATATTGTACTTCTTAATGAGGACAAAGCGATATAAAATTCTTTACTGTTATCATTGTTATCTTCGGATTGTAATAATTTAATACAATGCGTGCGCTAATGTTAAGTTAAATGAACAGTCTCGTAATATATCAAAAAAAAAAATAAATCTAAAAAAAAAATTAATTATTTTCTTATAGTCTAAACGAAAAAGACGGGGACATCCGCGAATACAGTTAATTACATGTGACTGTTTAGCTCAGTTTTATGCTAGTTCATTAGCGACGAATCTATATCGACGAATTAAATAAGAAAAAGAATTTTATTTATAGTCAAAGTGAATCTTGATGATAAATTATATACCAATTTGAAAATACATTTTTTTTGTTCTTTAAACTGCACATCTATAGTTTGTCAAACTTAAATCAAATTAAATTGAAGCTGGAAATTAATAACGTCACAAATTACTCAACAATTTCTAATTTTTAGAATTGGAAAAAATGAAGAGTTAGTTGAACCGAGATTAAAATCAAATTATATTGGTAGAAACGGACATTAGAAAATTGTGTTGCGGAGGTACATTGATTGTCAATTTAATAATAATGCGAATGAGCGTCTTAAAATACAAGAAAACTATATTGACAAAATTATGCTAACAGTGGAAGCTCTACTATTCCGATCTATATTGTAGATCTGCACCATCCTGCTAGGATTGTCGACAATTGTCGTTTTCATCGACATGGAGGTAAGTAAATACTGATTGGCTTGACATCTTAAAACTGTACTTAAGACAGTTTTAGATATACAGTCTGTCCGATAAAAGGTCGAAAGAAAAATGTATTTATTAGCATCTAAATAATAATTATATTCTATAGAATTGTGAATCAAATGCAATTATATTAATAATGGAGTCATCACCGGTATCTATAATGGACTGGCATCTCCGAGGCATACTTTCCACTAAATTGATATCGTATTCGTGTGGCAATGACCTCCAAATGCGTCGAATTTCGGCAGACAACTGTTTTAAAGTGAACGTTCGTCTTCCACAAAATTTTCTCTTGATAAACGCCCATATATTTTCAATCGGATTCGCATCGGATCGCGGCGGCCAGTCCAGCGTCATGATATCATTTTGCTCTTTCCAGTTCTTGCAGAACTTGCTTTGTTATCTTCTTTATTAATTGAAACCAACGTTGGGCAGATGAAATCAAAGCCTTTTGATATATTTTTAACATTTCTTTTGCGTTCAAATCGTCTGTAAATAAGTAAAGGTAGTCAAATCCTTGCTCCGAGAAGCAGTGCACCTTTATCGTGTGTTTAACGGTACACAAGTTTATTGATGGTGGTAGATCCAGAATACCAGGATCGTAGGACGATAGAACGTGCCGAAAGATGTTTCGTCCGTGAAGATTATTTTTATACTTCAATCCTTACTTTCTTTTGCCCAAGTGAATCGTATTCTCACGTGTTTTTCCATTAGTATCGGCTTCTTTATTGCGCTGCGTCTTTACGCCATGAAGACGAAGATAACGTCTTATGGTTTCGCACGATATTTTTAAACCATTTTTTTTTAATATCGCCTGTCCTTGACGCAGCGACAACATGCTATTCTTCTTCTTTTCAAATAGACTCACAATTCTTTTAACGTCTTTACCAGTAAACACTCGTGCCGTGCCGCGTTCTGGCAAATCATCCACCGTTTTCGTTTCAAAGTAACGTTGTACCCACTTTTGGACGAACGATTTTGATTTCTGCATGTATTTGGCGGCAGCGTATTGAGACATTTTCGGTCCTTTTGGATGCGTACATAAAAATACAGCTTCATAGCGCGATGCATAAGTGACACTCATTTTGAAATACGCTTTTTCTACCAAGAATCAAACGATAGCTGACACTTATATGATCAATAATGCATCATAGAGCGGTATTCATAGTCCGTTCTTATTTAAAGACTATCTTACTTAAATAACGTCTTAAAACGCTAATACGGCCCTCCGATTGGTTCGTGACTCCTTAATTAAGACTGTACTTAAATAAAACGGTCACCTTGATCACGTGTATAAGTAGATGGTTTATTTAACTTGCTTGTTTATTATTTTAACTGAAACTATTAGGAAAAAAATTATCTCATTAATTAAACATTAATTAATCGTTATATAAAAATTATCTAATTAACTAAATATTAACTAAACTTACTTAGCAGTTACCTACAAAGTAGATTGATGACAAAGAGCCGGGTAAAATATGATGATAGTGACAAATCATAACTTTGCACCGCCGCGTTCTAATATTTCTAACCACTTCTAACCGCAACGTGCGAAATTACATGAATTGCAGTCAGTCATTTCTTAACTTGGCACGAAGTTTCCGAAGAAATATCGAGACGTCGGTACGAGATGGTGAAAAGATCCACGATAATCGGATCGCATCTATCGATCGGCTGATGTCGAACACGCTGTTTTCAGAATTTCGTAAACAAACGCGAGTTTAGGACGTTTAGGTCAGTTTATGGTGCGTTCGGGAAGACGCTGATAGCGCTATTCTGTCATTCTATCTTCGTTGTTTATTAAACGTAAAACAAGGATAGAATGACACAAATAGCGCTAATAGCGTCTCCCCGAACGCATCTTTAGAGGCCTATTCTTTTTAGCTAAACTTAACTGAATTTCTTGCACGGTACATCTTTCTTCCTTCTCCCTCCACGTAGGAGAGAAAAAGTTGAACCGTGCAAGAACTTTAGCCAAAAAGAACAGATCCTAAGTGTAAACATACATACGGCGCACGCGTGACAAAGGGGGGGGGGCATTCAAGTTGACAAAACGGCTAGCCTGCTCGCCAAGCAAATGAACATAATTGGTTGTTACTCATAGATCCAACCAATCATATTCAATCGCTGGGTAAGCACACCTAAGATCCGTTCGGGGAGACGCTATTAGCGCTATTTCTGTCATTCTATCTTCGTTGTTTATTAGACGTAAAACAAGGATAGAATGACACATAGCGCTAATAGCGCCATCCCGAACGCACCTCTAGCCTTTACCGTCTTGAACTCGCCCATTCGGTTCACCGTTGCCGCCAATTCCCGGCATTTTTCAGTCTCTTTCGTTGCTTCTTGCTCTCGAAAGAATTGACGTAAGAGTTTTCTTTTATACCTTCTCAATCGCAGCTGGCACTGCTGGTGGTAGCAATTGGTAGCGATGTCGAAGTACACGGGTTTGATGCCTGCTGGCATGTCCGATGAGGACGACGACGAGGACGATGACGTCTTCTATCCTCTCGAGGAGGTACGATTAACACAGGTGTAAAATTTCGAGTGTTTTCCAGCAGGAGATACAGTGCAACACAGTAAATCGTGACATCCTTGATGTTTGCTAATGTTAAACGGAAATGACATGATCATTGTTTATCACTGTAGGCGTTTTCCAGCATGAACAGTCAGACCGTGTAAAGCTGATTCTACAATGAATTGGCGTAAGAGTTTTCTTTTATACCTTCTCAATCGCAGCTGGCACATCGGAAATCTTAACACGCATTCTACAATAAGCCATTAATCATAAATCAGATGTCAGAAACCAATCACAGTCGTCAATTTCCAGCTTCTAACTTCTGATTTATGACTAATGGTTATTGTAGAATGGCCATAAGTCTTAATCAGTTTTAACCTAAATAGGTGACTATGAATAGAATAGAATTTATTACACTTCAACATTTACATAGGCTACGTTTACACCGTGCATTTAGGCCGCGGCCTATACAATAGACGTCCTTGTTTATCGTGTATATTAAACAAAGACACCTATCGTATAGGTCGTGGACTAAGCACACGGTGTAAACGTAGCCATAGCCAAGAAGGGGACTTGGTTCACAATAAATTCTTACCTCATTCATCCTTCCATACTTCATACGCGCTCTTATTTAACTATTTTACTATTTAATTATATTTACTTTTACTTTCTACCTCCATCTTTATCTTTAGCATTGCCGCTTTCTGATTATGACATATTTATCACCTTACGCCTAAGTCAGTCTTACTATGTTCTTGTATTACTTATTCTATTTTCTATAACTTATGTCCAAATAGGTGACTATGATTTTTTGCATCTACTAGTTGTTAGTTGTACACCGAGTCGTTTAACTCTACTAGTGGGAAGGATTAAAGTCGAATTTGGTCAGTCTTAAGAAAATCGGTAGTCTTAGTCGTACAAGTTGGCCAACTTTATCGATTCACTGATAAGACTTTGGACTATGAACTACCGACTCATTGAATCAGCTTAACACAGTGAATCGTTTCATCCTTGTTTAACAGAGGCAAACAACAAGGATGTAATGATTCACTGTATTACACCTTATCTTTGTCCTTGCTGGAAAGCACCATTGGTTTCACTATATGGAGTTTTTCTCACTTCATTTCTTAAACAGAAAGAGTCTACTGTCAAAAAATATAATTATACCTCGTGGAAGGAGGAGACAAAAGAAGAGACGAAAATCAATTCCGGGGTAAATGATGAGGAACGTACCTACGAAGATCGCCTTGTGAAGGCATGTACGATGGGGCAATTGGAAGTGATACAGGAATATATTGAACGTAAACATTATATGCATAAAGCTGATTCTACAATGAGTCAGTAGTTGGAAATCTAAGTCTTAACCAGTTTTAATCTAAATAAGTGACTTATTACTTTTTGCATCTATTACTAGTTAATTGTACAGCGAGTCATTTAGCTCAACTAAAGTCGAATTTGGCCAGTTTTAAGAAAATCGGTAGTCAGTCATACAAGTTGGCTGTTGGCTAATTTCACTGATTCACTGATAAGACTTAGGACTACTATCTACTGACTTCTTGTAGAATGAACATAATCAAATTTCCATGTATTAACCTTCTATCTGCAATCATATTTTTAGATTTTTACTTCCTACTTTCTACTTCTGCAATCTAGGTCTTTTTTGTTCAGTCCAAATTTTTTCTACTATTTTAGGTTTCCAGAAAAAATCACAGTTTTCAATATTATGTTATTAAATTGTTTTTTAACTCAAACGATAAAATTTTTAATAAAAATTAGATTTGAGCAAAAATGAGAATGAAATTTGAGAGTAAAATTTCACTTATGCAAAAAAGATCCATATTGCCATTGGTGGGTTAATCAGATTCATGATTCTTTCTCTCTCCTTTGTATTAAATGTATATTAATATAATAGATAACGATTATCAAATGTTTTTATAGAAGAACATGATGTTAATAAATTCCTGTATACTGGATGGACTCTATTATTATATGCAATTTCATCAGTGGAACCAGAAATAGTAGAGTATCTTTTGGTACAGGGTGCAAATCCGAATAGATATACAGGTATGGATCGATGTTATTTTATTCATTAAGTTTTATATGAAGTTCCTATAATCACACCAAATGGTTTACAGATGGATTTACACCTCTTATGGCGCTGTGCAATTCTACAAAGGGAACATCAGAAAACTCTATGAAATGCCTTGAGCTTTTAATACAAGCAAAAGCTGATGCGAATGTTACAAATAAACACAAGTAAAATTAATGCCATATAAATAAGAAACGGAGAAGCTAATGTTTTTCTGATATTAAAATTATTAACATAATTACTAACTTGATTTGACTGATGATCACAATTTTTACAGGGAAACGGCTCTAATGTACGCCTGTATGTCAAAGGATGCAAACTTTATCTTCGAACTTATAAAATATGTACAGAACATTGATGCTTTCGACAGCAATGGGAAAACGGTAGGTTTCAACATCATTAAATATCAAAGATTTTCCTATATAAATTTTCGATCCAATTATAGGCATTGATGTATGCCGCTTCAGCTAATAAACCTGATAACGTCCAAATTCTTTTGGTGCATCATGCGAATACTTCACAGACAGACTCATACAATTTATCTGCCAAAGATATCGCAGATACAAAAGGATTCTCAGAGGTAATTTAGATCTTTCTCATCGTTCAATTTTATACTTTAACTGTAAATTCTTTTATTTTTCATTTTCTAGATATCTGCTCTGTTGAATGAAGATGAAGAAGAGGTACAAACATTTTGCGAGATATCTAATACAACAACTTGGAAAGATTTATTTCCAAATTTATATCCCAGAAAAAAGGAATTTTTAGATTATGATATATCTGTGATGTTACATGGAATGGGTTTGGAAAAATATGGCAATTTATTTCAAGGAATAGATATTAAAACTTTCTTACAATTGACAGAAGACGATCTTTGTCGCATAGGAGTAGATATTACTGTTCATAGAGATCAATTTTTAGAAAATCTTGAAAAATTTCATAGCAGGAGGTGGCTTATGAACAGTTTTGGCAAACTTAGGAAAACTGATTCATATACGTATGTTATATTTTTTTACATGTTTTTGATAGGAATATGTGAAATAAAATAATTGTATATGTATAAATAATTACAGAATTTATGACGGCGTAATATCATTAACAAATGCAAAAAAGCAGATTGGCGTGATAGCTTCTAGTTTCCAGTACATTAAAAATAATTTGCTGAAAGCTGCAAACGAAAATACCGTTTTGTCTTCTGAAAAAAGAATAGAATATGAAGAAGAACTGAGGAAAACGCAGAAAACTTTGAAACTTCTAAAGAACGAGATAATACAAGTTAAAAAACTAGCCCAACAGGTAACGTTATATATAAAGCTATCACTATTCAATGTTAATCATATTTTTAAATTGTAGATCAACAAGGAAAATAATATCGGTGTACCGGCAATTTGGATTAGTCCCAAGAGTACCAAATCCAATTGGACTATAACAATAAGCATTACATTAATGATAGGATTATACTTGTGCAAAAAAATGTATGTTCAAAGATTATGGAATATATGTAATATTAGAATATCTTCAATACTTCGTTTTCGAACACATTTATCATATTTTTTCGAATGAATTCAAATATTATAATGTTTTATAATACAATTAAGCTTACAATTATATCATTGATTATATATAATTACAACTTAAAATTTAGTTCTTACAGTTTATATACATTTGGAAAAATATATTTATATTGGGAAATATACGATTTTTATTAGTATATTTGTACTATTTAATATATATATATATATATTTTATTGACTTGAGTGTTCTCTCAAGTTAGCCAATTTCATCATTTGTGGAAAGAGAGGGTGAAATGATGGCAGATTTTGTTGACGGATTGTTAACTGGTAACGTTCCAATGGTCCACCGCATAGCGCTAATCTGTCTCTTTCGTTCGGATGGCTGTCCATCCACTGAGATAATCGGCCTACAGACCATCCAGCGCTCTGTGTGAGATAAATATAAAATTTATTAATTTCCTCATATATAAAATGTAATCATTTTTTGTTTAATAAGTCTAAATAAATTAATATTTATAAGAAATCCATTTCACCTGATGCGGTGATGCTAATTCGGGAGGCGCGCCGGAAAATAAATGCAGGAGAATAAGAGACGGTGATACGCTACTTTCTCCTTGTCCTTCCAGAATTTTTTCTACCATTTTCTCAGGATTGAGGGGAAGTAGAGCTTTTAGAGCTCGTAATGTTCTGTATTGCTGTTGTTCGAGTAGACCCATCTGGCCGCCACGACACAACGGCGTCACGACTACTTCCATCTAAAACTCGCAATCTGTTTCATCTGCTTCTATATAATCGATACATTTTTCTTTACACTGAACGCGACATACCTGAGCGAAATCTACCAGAAGTTTTGCTTTTCCAAAATCAGTCAAAGGTCTCAACAAGCAAGCATGACGCACAAATAATTCTATACATCTCGACGCGACTGCTTTACAACTGAAATGATATTAACATTTAATAATTTATTTTCGATAAACAATAGGATGAAGAGGAATAAAACTTGCCTTTCAGCTACAACCACTTGATTTTTGTACGGTAGTAAGAACGTATTTACAGATCGTAGGATGAAGCCTTGCAATTCACGCATATAAAGAGAACAGCCAATTTCCTTTCCTAGAGGGCTACTTGTGCTGTATAATAAAAATAATAATATGCAATGTGAGAACAGATGAAAACGAAAAAAAATAGGAATAACTTACTCTCTAAATTCGGGATCATCGTGCATCGTTAAAATAATACTTTCGATTGCATCACTAATAGAAGTTAACAACGGCGCGAGTAAATTCTTCGTTAATTCATCCGTTTCTTTGAGCGCCGTGGTAATGACAACGCCGCCTTCGGAGGATAAACCTCCTGCCAGATTAGCTATTACACGATTTGTCTGGTTGGAAAGATAATGGAGAAGATTCGCGAGCGTGACATTTGTCTGTTGACCAGTAGTAGGGGAATCAATTACTTGGCTGGCCTCACCGCCTGTCACCACACTTTGCTCGCATTTCAAACAGAATAGCCTTATTGCTTTTCCTACATTACGCGACACCACGGTAGAAAGTCCATCATCTACCAATGATACGCTGAGTTCACTAGAAGCGAGATATAACTCTGCTATAGTTTAATAGATAAGACATACATATATTAATATATAAAAAACATGCCAATCTTACTTTGTAATCATACGTATAAGACTGTCAATCTCGTCATGCGTCGGCAAACCTTCGCCAGAAAACATATTGTGAACTGGATCCAGAAGTCGAGACACGGAACGTGATAAATAGGCGTTTTCGAACGGTAATAAAACGTTGCGACTATATTAAAGACATAGACATTAATACAAAGCTTCATATGTCATTTATATCAATCTATTGAGAAGTACGTACTCAATACCGTAAATCCCAATACTGTGAGATCTTTCTTTCAAACGTTTACTCAAGTCTAAAAATATTCTTAAAAATTTTGGATACTCTCCTTCCAGGGCTTGCTTTACAAATGATGATCCTGCAAGATCCTTTATTGAAACTTTCTTTGAATTAAATTTGATATTTAATATATTTATAATAATTTACCTTGAGCACGTTCGATCAAAACTTTCGCAAGAAGAGCATTTACTTTATCCCAAAATTTCTCGGATAAATCGTGAAATCCTTTCATATGATGCTCCAATAATATTCTTTGCAGCAATTCAATCTAGATATAAAACAATGTTGTTTGAAAATGACTGAATTAAAAACGAATAAAATGCATATTGTTGTCTGTTTACTTGTAGACACTGCGTATATAAAGTATCTTGGAAAAGACGTTCAAGATTTTCCCAAATTCTCGTGCGTAAATTTCCAGACGATCCAGGCGACGGAATCGTAGCTCTGCCCGGCGCTCCGCGTTTTCCAAAATCCGGATTTGTTACGAAAGATACATCCAATGATTCTGTGGAAATTCTTTCTATTTCAGCCAGGGTAGACTCTATAGTTGTGTCCACAGCACTGCTTATTATTCCTAAATTTTGAAAGACCTGCACAGCCGTGCTCACCTATCCATTATATAAATATTAATGCAAATATATATTACAATTATAATAACACAATTAAACTTAATTAACACCATGTATTTTATTTGTAGATTCAGATTAAGCATTATTAGCTGCATTAAAAATAATGTATGATACCTTTGTCCTATCCATCGCCTGTAAACCTTGCGTTAATGTATGAGTAGCAATTCTTTGCACAGTAGCTCTCTGAGTCTTTATAGCCTGTTGATCATCTGCGATTACATCTAGACCATTAAGATCTGTGTCTGCCATCAGTTGTTCTATAAATATAAATTTCACAATATATCATAGTATATGAGATTAACGAAGAAACATAAAATGGTATATATAATTGTATATGTACCAAGCTCATGCAGACTATTAGCAGCTTTGACAATATCTGGCCCTTGAGTAATGCTACTCATTTGAGCATTTAAACGTTTCGATAAATGTTGCATCCTAGAGACTCTCCTCAAAAGATCAGAGGTTTCATGAAGCCGTGCTAATACAATTGTTTGCATTTCAATTCTGTTAAATGGATCAATAATCTTGCCACGTAATCGCTCTACTGCTGATAAGAGGCTCTGAAATAGAAATTATTATACTGTATATCCTTTTAAATTCAGATTGACATCAATGTTTCCTTACTTACTTGTATGTGAGATTGCATTATAAAAAGTACTCCTTCTAGTTTTTCTACCCATGTTGCTTGAGATAGTAAATCCTCGTGATTCACAAGTACTTGCCTTTGCAGTTCGGCATTCAGCACCTCGATAGCTAGAAACAACATTTACTGTAATTATTACACGTATTTATTATTACGTTTACTGTAATTATTGTAAGTATTTATTATTATTATTATATTGATATTTCAGTGACAAGCAATTTGAACTTTACCTTGTCCCAACTTGTTTAATTGTTGAGCCACTGACAACAATTGGCTGACGTCAGTCTTTTTGGAGTCAACATCCAACAGTTGTTTAAAGAACTCTGAAATTGTATATTTCATTAGCTCTTTATAAATTCTTATTCGACAGACATCTGTTTTTCAACTTACGGTCATTTTCGATATCTTCCCAACTTGATATTTCACTCATTTTTAGTTTACAAAATCAAGTAAATGACATCTGTGTTGGAAGAGCAGAGGGGGGATAAGACTGTCAGAAAGGAGTGATATGCGCATGCGTCACAATCATATGACTGTCTAGGGAATTTCGAGAAACTGACGTTTAGATTGTCTATCCTTTCGAAAAAGGCAGGCAACTTATATCTAAACATCAATTTTTCGAAATTCCCCAGGAAGATAAAACGATAAATCTGAACCTACACGGCATATTGTTATACATAAACATTGTCGATTTTGTGCATTAATATTGAAATTATCCATTTCTGTAATTTAAAATTTTATCCTCAAGCACAATTTATTATTCGCAAAGATGATAAACAGTCTCTTTATTATAAATTCTTCAGGGTAAGTACATTATAGCTCGATAAAGAAAGTAGATCACAAGTTTGACATATTATTTCACAAATCATGTATTCGCATTTCTCACAGAGTTTATACATTTTTTCACATCATTGCTGTAACGTTTATATTTCTTACGCGATATTTCTAATATGTTCTGTATGCTTATAGAGATGTCTTCATGGAGAAACATTGGAAGAGTGCAGTCGCACGTTCGCTCTGCGACTATTTCTTTGATCAACAGCGACGAGTCTTGTCACCGGAGGATACACCTCCGGTGATAGCTACTCCACATCATTATCTCATTAGTATATATCGCTGTAATATGTTCTTCGTCGCAGTGTGCATGACAGAAGGTAAGCTTTGATAAATAACGTCGTTTGTACAAAGTGATGTCATGTGTAGATTAATATAAATATTCTTTACTTTTTTCAGTCCCACCATTGTTTGTTATTGAATTCTTGCACAGAGTAGTGGACACTTTCGAGGATTATTTCAGCGAATGTACAGAAACTATTATAAAAGAAAATTATGTGGTAGTATATGAGTTGCTAGATGAGATGTTAGACAATGGTTTCCCTCTGGCGACGGAATCTAATATATTGAAAGAATTGATCAAGCCACCTAATATTTTACGCACCATTGCAAATACTGTTACGGGCAAATCCAAGTAAGTACATTTTAATTTATGTAAATTTACATATGTCCATATTCATAGTCAGACCTTATACTTAAGGCTTCCTTAAATTTATCTTTAGATGCTCAGTAGCCAATGAAATAATTCATAGAGCATCTGAAGATAAATTTAAGGAAGCCTTAAATATAAAGCCTGACTGAATACGGGCCATAGATGTACTTATTAAGGATTTTTATACATTTTATAAATTTATACATAGCGTTAGTGCAATCTTGCCAAGTGGACAATTATCCAACGTCCCTTGGAGACGAACTGGAGTGAAATATACCAACAATGAGGCGTACTTTGATGTTGTTGAGGAAGTCGATGCGATTATTGATCGAACTGGAGCAACAGTGTTTGCAGAAATTCAGGGCTATGTATGTTCTATAGTATGTCTCACAAATATTAAGTATATGACATATTAACATATATAATTAATCTTTTAGATTGACTGTTGTATAAAATTAAGTGGTATGCCAGATCTCACTCTATCGTTTATGAATCCAAGACTATTCGATGATGTTAGCTTTCATCCTTGCGTTCGATTCAAAAGATGGGAAGTATGTACATATGTGATTAATATCATGTTTGGTGTGAAAATTAATTTTTAAGTTTATGTGTCTTGTTTCAGTCGGAGAGAATACTTTCCTTTATTCCCCCTGATGGTAACTTTCGCCTTCTTTCATATCACATAGGATCACAAAGTATTGTAGCAATTCCTATATATATAAGACATAATATTAGTCTAAAAGAACCAGGAGGTGGTAGATTAGATATCACTGTTGGACCAAAACAGACTATTGGTAGGACGGTAAGTTATCTTTTTTAAAGAGACACGATTGTAAATTTTACTATCACTATAATTATTATTACTAATCATTAATACTATTATTATAGGTTGAAAACGTGACTCTAGAAATTCCCATGCCAAAGATAGTTTTGAATTGCACTTTAACTCCAAACCAAGGAAAATATTCTTTTGATCCTGTCAGTAAAATATTGCTGTGGGACATTGGAAGAATTGACGTTTCCAAGCTGCCAAATCTCAGAGGATCGGTAGGATAATTATAAGGCCTTTAAAGATATATGACTAATAATTATGTTATTACGAAATTTTATATTTCAGATCACAATACAAAATTCAACAACTATTACTGAATCAAATCCTGCTATTAATGTATGTATGAGATAATGCCATTAATATGCGTATAATATACGATATATTTATATTTTAAGTGAGATTAACAATTTGATATAATAATTTCAGGTGCATTTTACGATAAATCAATTAGCAGTATCCGGATTGAAAGTAAATCGGTTAGATATGTATGGTGAAAAATATAAGCCATTTAAAGGTGTCAAATATATCACTAAAGCTGGAATATTTCAAATAAGAATGTAAATATGTGTTAATAATTATAAATTCTATCCTTTTTACATTACATTAAACATATATCTTATAACATTATATCTATGAACAGATTAAATGTGATGAATTTACATGACATTAAAGGTATATAGTTTGCAGTAATGACTATGTACAAAAATAAGAACATTAATACAGAATTATGTTCAATAAACTTAACAATTTAATCAAAATACATGTATTGTCTACTTTATGTTTTACTGTATGAAACAAAATCGGATATGAGAAAAATAAACAGCTCTATTTTAATAATAATCCTACTTGTAATAACAATAAATTAAAGAACTACAACATTAAATAGATATAATATTAGAACCATATTGAGAATCCTTCATGTTGATGGTTGACACAATAACTTTTTTGCCTCTAAATCCTCCCAAGTTGGATGAGTAGCATACGTATATAATCGCTCCATATTCGTAGCATATATAGTGTGATTACTAACGAGATTTTTATAAATCTATTTGGGAAATAAAACCAATTAAAATATGATTTTAACATGCAATAATAAAAGGAATATACAGTTTTTTATCATTACCTTTAATGCATATTGCAAATCGGCCGTGCTTACTGGTTTTAACGGTAGACGAGTGATTTGTGTGGAACAAGCATATGAAAAAGCAGTAGTTTGTTCAGCTTCTTCAAAACTTGATTTTGATGCAGGAATTTGGCCATAAGTATCTATTACTTCTGTCGGTCTGCGTTTTAAGATGGCTCCAATGTTAATCATACACAACATTCAAATCAGCGCTTGCAACTTACCCAAAATTGTGTGAATTTATGTACATGGAATTTCGTTTCCACGAACTAGGTACTGGTTCTCCTATATTATAAATGAAAGTGCCGTCTCGAACAGCATAGCCTTTCCTACGTGTGAAAATTGCAGTAAGAATATTTTTCAAGAAAATTTGTGTCGCTGCTATAACAATGTGCGCGGTATTTTCTTCAGCCCCGTCCATATTATTTTCCCACGCAGCAAGCATTAATCGAGCTAGTACAAAAGTGCGATCTGGTAATACGAGTTCTTGGGCGCTAGAGCGATTGGCGCCTATAGGCTCGTCTCTGACAGGCGATGAAGCTTGACCCAATACTTCCACGTACATATCTGCTGGCTGTTATAAAGAAATAATATAAATGATGGTATTTATATGGATGAATCAATAAGTAATTTTAATTTTTACCATGATTGTTGAGGACAAAATTATGGTTACTTATTAACTCACCTACTGTATTGATATTGCGATATTATATCTACAAACCTCAAAGTTTGATTTGTCAGTCTTGTATTTGCGTTTTAATCTCAGTCTTCTCTCTTTTGAAATTTTATCCCTCTCTATTTTGGTTGGTGTAACGGCAGCTAATCCACGAACCTTATTAAAGAGACACAGCAAGAACTCGTTGTGCAAATGGACTTGATCCTCTGTCATAAGATTACGTGCTTCGCAATCAAATTCTTCTTTTGTAGTCTAAAACGATTGTATATAATGTACAAAATATGTATATTCAAAGTTAATTGAAAAATTTTGTTTACCTTCATTTGGAACCATAGTTTCATCTTTTCGAAATACCTATCAATAATCATAAAAATAAGATTATAAACCATAGTTATAGGTTAAGTTTATCTTTTCGTATATCAATAATGCGTATACTTATTTCGTTTAAAATAGGAAAACATACACTTTTGCATTTTCACCAAGCGATGCCACGAGGCTCTTCCTAGCTAAATTTAATTCCTTTGAAGTAGTCATTCTTGCAATTTTTTTCTTATTATTGCATGCAAGCTATACGAGTGTTTTGAATTTAAGGAAGGTTATGATTAACTTTAGGTAGAAAGGTTAGGCAAAAAACGTAAAATAGAATTAAAAAGGAGTTAAATTGAATTTGAGAAAATTGAGGAACTAAATTGAGAATTTTAAATTGAATTAAAAAGCAATCTTGTTTATTATCTGTATCATTTTTAGATAACTTTATTTGCTTTGGAGGTTGTTTGAAAATAAAAATTGATTTAGAAAATTTCGAATGTTTTTATTTTTAATGTAAAAATTATATACACTTCATAAATAATGGTTTTACTAGAATCTCTTCGTATTTGTCAATAGACTTTGTTCTTACGATTGTGTAAAAATATAATACAGAGAGCATTGCCACATAACTTAAGAATTACATAAAATCTTTATCAAATTCAAAAAAGAAATACATTTACCTATACACAAAGAAGTGACAAAAATACAAAAAATCGTTAATATATATACACATATCAAACAAATTCAATTTTTTACAATAGTTTTTTCTATACAATTACGATACTTTCAATTGTTTCCTGCTTAATTAGGTTTTTACTATTTCAGGCAGAATTACTTTAAAATTCGACGCATGTAAAGAGTATTCTACTTCTAATTGCAATCATATACCGAGTATATACAATTCATCAAAGGATCTACCATTCTCGACCGAGCCAGTCTTCTGAATTCTTTTTCCTATTTTTATGACCTTTCTTTCTATGTCATCTGATTTCTTTGGCTGGAACCTTTGACCGAATGAGATCCCATGTTATCAATGAAGCGTTCGCTCTCATGCATAAATCCATAACGAGTGGAGTATTTCTTATATCGCGCATCGCTCCTAAGCAGGTTCCTGTTGCCATGTTGTAGATAGGTGTATTATTCTATAACGATAAAATATTTAAACTTCTCAGTAACTGTCGATAAAGATCGATTGCTATTCATTAAATTGATAAATGTAAAAAAATGAGATCAAATTTCTAGTGATTGTAAGAAAAAGAAAACATTTCCTAGTTTGTAACATAAATGGTCAAAAACTGTTGCATCAGTAAATCTTACAATACGCTTATGACGCCAATCTTGACTTCCTCCCATTTCATGACACTTTCCAAGTTTTGGAATTTTCTCAGCTCCTTCCATGCAAAGCATCTGGCCAAGTACCAGTTCATTTTTATCAGTCTCGTACCACATCTACAAAAATGTATATATAAATTTGGAAATTGGCAAAATTTTCTTTTTTTTCTCTTATTTGATGACAATGCCTACCTGTAATTTAATTCTTAAACACGGCATCAAGATAAGTTTTGAGCCTTTGGTTTTAATATCCTTTTCACTCTGGATACAAAGTGCGGTATTTGAAAGTCTGATTTGATACTGGTCGGTATAATTTCTCTTTCTCGAATGCCAAGGTTGCATTGGTCTTTGATCAAGTTTGGCCCACTTATCCTTGAGTCGTCTTTCTGTATCATCTGGCAATGTTAATTCAGGATAAACCTCCTTTAAATACCAACCGAATGTTTTACATTTTAATTTCTGTCGCAACGCTAATCGCTCTGAGATATTGCCATAATTAATTGTTTTAGCATTTTTCAAGAAGTAATCTTTATATTCATCCATCCATACATGCGCAACTCGCAAGGAATTTTTTAACATGGTGTCTTGTGGATCATCCGAACCATACGGCCGTCGTCTTCTAAATACGTGACCTACTCGTGAACAGGGAATAAGCTCGATATTGCCGCCACACATCCATATCTAGAAAAAGAAGTTAATAACATTATATATATATATATACATGGCAAAAAACAAATATAAAAGATCAAATATAGTCAATATTTACTCGGAATGATATTTCAAGATTCTCTCCACCCCAAATATCCATACCGATATCATATTCTCCCATTTTTGTAAAATATTCTCTATCAATAGCAAACAATCCACCAGCCATAGTTGGGGATCTATTAACAAAAAATATTTATTTATGAAAGATTATATATAAGTATTATATATAATTTTTATAATTAAGCACATTTATGTAGATATAAAAGCATTGTCTTACTTGATGGGCTTTACAAAATCAACGTCATGATTTAATGTTCCAATCGGTAAATTATCCCATTTAAAGTGAAGACCCCAATTAAAGCCACCTCTCACTAATGGACTCCCAGTATACTGAAATGTATCTGCATTTATAATATCAATCACTGGCATCGGTACGATATTTCTTGAATAAGCAATCCTTGAAAGAAGCGGCTCTATCCACATTTCATTTACTTCTATATGACTATCCAAAAAAATCAAAACTTTGCCAGTTGCTTTTCTAGCTCCAAACACCCGCGCTCTTATCAAACCTTCTCTTCTTTCAGTCTTGAATAAGCGTACTCTGTCATCAAAATTGTTTCTAATATATACTTTTATTTTCTCGTGCAACGTATCGCTGTCGCTATAATCATTCACTAAGATAATCTCATGTAGAAGCGCTGTTGGCGTTTTCTCAAGCACAGAATGCAAGGATCGCAATAAAGTTGTATAATGTTCGTTGTAAAAACAAATAATTATACTAGCATTTGGCAAATTGACAGGATATTTTTGCATCTTGCACAGCTTGTGCCTCGTATCCGGTATATTTCTTCGCATGCCAAGATTGTCTGATATCAAAATATTAAAGGCATAGTCCTTATAACCCTCGTCCCTCTTCCGTTGATCCTCCAAATTTCTTACCATGCCTAATTCATCTAAACCTATTCAAATATTTTGCTTGATTTTGGGTTTGACAATTCAATAATGATCTAGAATATTAACATTGGTGATATACCTTGCTCCAAAATGACTGCAGGTTTTACTGGAACAGCCTGAAGTTGCTGCAAGATCAGGTCATTTTTCCTGAGGTTCTTATTGCTCTTTAAGTTATAAGCTTCCTTACCAGCTAATATTTGTTTCTCATTGCGTGCAATAATAATATTATCACGCAGCATAATCTCTTTGTCAATACTTTCTCCATGTTTGGAAACAATAGGAATCATTATTGTAGGACTGGTGGTGATAGCATTCTGTGATAATCTTGAATAAAGATACAGGCTGAATGCCCATGTTAGAGAAGCTATTATTATCCCTGATAGGAATGATACGTATCTTGTTGATATCATCTGTCAAACAAAAAATAAAAGGTCAAAGATCACTTAGCTGTTTTTCTTTAATCAGACAATTGTTTCCTACATTCCAAGAAATTTATAGATTAATTTTCTAATGAATACTCACCGCACGTTATAATTCAATTACACGCACAATCCAAGATCGGGCTATCGGGCATGCAAGCCCAGTCCCATCCAGCGAACCCGATCCTGCCCGATCCAAGAGAGTCTGGGACGTATGGGTCTCTGAAAACAGAGCAATGTTTTCCAGGGAAAACTAGTGCAGCACTAGTGCAATTGAGTGCAAATCGGTTTATTCTTTTTTTTCTGCGAGACGCCGGATAGTGGACATTAATATGCTTTCAAGTAATCCTTTTAAGGTTATGACAACAAAGAATGTGTAAATAAAAGAATTAAATTATTTATTGACACTGAAAATATGTAAATTAATTTGCACTCACCTGCACTGTAACGTGCAGCAGTGCTGCGCTAGTTTTTCCAATAAAAAACGCTATAAAAAAAATTGCAGATATCGAGCGCTACCTAGCGTCATCTACCGCAACTGCGCGCCACCGAGCGGTACCGAACATTGCCGAGAGTTGCCGAACGCAGCAGCGCCCCGCTCGGTGCTTACAGACACTCATCGATCAGAAGTGCATCGGTTGATTTTGTCGGTTCGCTGTCAGTTTGCGGCAGCAAAAAGATTGTTGGAGATTTCGACAATTAGTATTGACAGTTTATTTAAATTGGCACGGCAACAGTCGGCGCATTGACACTTTTGATTGACGTCCACTGGTAAGTCTTGCTTTATCCGACAAATATATTCGTCATAAAATCAACGTGCAATCTTCCATGTCATCGAGCAGTGAGTAGACGCTTCTTGCCCTATTACTGCTAATTATAACTTAATTGTACAATGCCCTTAACGTATGTAGCCGGTACTAAAATTATGTAGCCGTATTAAAATTACATAGAAGCATCTAAAAGAAGGATGGTTCGACTAATTGAACATGATATACGTTTTCAACAATAGATATGTTTTTTATAGCTCAACTAATGCATGCTCTTTGTATTTAAAGTGAAATAAAGTTATATTTGACAAAGCGAGAAGGAAAGTTTTAATGTAATCGAATGCAGCAATAAAAACAAATCTAATGTTAATGAAATATTTTTTGTGTATAAAAATAAACATGTATGTATCTTTTGTTCTTAGTAGGATGTATCGTATTATATTTGCTCTTGGATATCTATCATGCTATTATCTTTGTGATACATTATACGCTCGCAATATGATGCAATGGATTCTGCAAAAACAATGATACGGAACTGATTTAAAATGTTATTTGTTGAAATAGGCTATGCAGTTTTGAGATATAGGTCAGAGTTGAAAGGCCTCTGTCCATTACAAAATTTAAGACTTTTTCATATAAAAATATAATATATAAACTAACAAGAGATTTAAATATTAAATAAAAGCTTTAATGCATTGTAATGAAAAAAAATTTATTAAATCTTCATATTTTTTTTAATAGTACTAAGTAAATAAAATATTACCAAGTATTATTTTAAATAAATATTTACTTAATAAAATATGATGGTTAAATCAAATTAATGGTTCTTATATCAAATAAATATAAATTTATATTTAGTAAATATTTATTTACAACTGTTCAAATATATATTTATTAAAATTTTGTTTCTTTTCAATTATATGTTGTACAGCATTTAATCTTATTTTCTTCTTATTTTTTTTTTAATTTCTTATAATCAATTATCCAGAACAAATTATAGAACAATGAGGAATGATTCTTTCACTATTTTTATTCATGTCTGAGTCATAATTTTGCTTACGCAATAGGGATAACATTTCTTTCTTATTAAAATAAACTTTACTTATTTGTCTCATTTTCTTTAATCCTGTTTCTTGTGAAGGAATATGAACGTTATGTAAACAGATAACATTTACATTATCTTTCCACAAATCGTACGTTCTTTAAGTGTATGAACATTCAACGTGATCTTTACACATGATTTTCTCGAAAATAAAGCCTCGGACGAAAAAAGTTTATTCTGCACTTTCGACTTATTTTCGTACAAGAAATCACCCACATCCATTTGTATTCTAGATTTGTTTCCATTCTATATTAATTTGGACTACTTAACACTTCAGATATCATAGAGTGTGCAGAAAAAAAGTTAAAAAAGAAGTTACTCAATAAGATTTAATGTATTTTTTCTTAGTATAATAAAAATATTAACTTGATTTTATTATATATTATATTGTAAGTATGAGTATCAATATGTTAGAGAAAATGAAAGGAAGTATGACTCATATATAGGAATGATAAAATCGTGAATAACCATGGAGCTATTTGTAGCACAAACAAATTTCTCATACTTTTTCATAATTTATGCAGAAGTTTAAAATGGTACTTGTATTATTATTGATTTTTGCATGCATACGTGTCTTTAAACTACATAAAATTGCTTCTTTGTTTGATGAATTATATAATATATATTTCTGTAATTTGTTGAACTAACTTACTTGTTTTAGATTAGATTAGATTAGATTAAACAGCAAATTACGATACAAAAATATATACTAAATGTACCCTAGTTAAAAATGTTCTTTTCATCTTTGTTTTTTTTTAAATCCCTTTAATCTTTAACCTCTAGTCATTGTGAGCTCGATAAAAATTCGTTCATTGTTCTATCAAAAATTAGTATTCTTAAGGTTGATAATGTAATAAGAATGGAAATTCTGTTTGCGAAAATACATACGTTAAATATTCCGATTGCAATGAACGGAAAAACCACTTTGACTCATATCGATCTTGTGACTACTTATGTCGTAATTAATATAGAATAGAAATAACTATTGTATCTATTGTATATAAAAGAAAATTTCGACATAATATTATTCTTAATAAGAACAAATAAAGATGAAGATCTTA